ATAACACGTCGGGTGAAATAAAAAATAAAAATTCCCCCACAGAAATTTCTTAATATTTTTCCGGACAACTTTTAACCTGAATCTACGCAGATCTTGAAACCGGAATCCATAACTGTTTGGGAGAAATCGGATTCCGATTAAATCTCAAGGAATATTCTAGTCATCAGTTACTTCTAATAAAATTCGCTGATTCGGAGGTACGATAATCTCTTACGTTCTCACGCAACGACTCCGTCGGAAATGGCGAATGCAAAAATCGACGAGATTTATATCACATAATGACGCATTATTACATCATAAATAACAGGTCGTGCAAAGCGGTGCGCAGTTTGGCCCGCGGTTGTCACCCGGATACCTGACTGGCGACAGGATTTTTGTGAAACGCCACTTCGTCGGCCACCTGTGCTTTCACGCACTCGATTTACGATCCTTCGGATCTATCTGTAAAAATATTTGCCGAGAGATCGGTCTCGCCTATCGAACTCGCAAGTACTGTCAGTGGTGATGCAAAGCGCACCGATCCTCCGATAATTGTCGGAGATGTCGGTCGTATCGTATACAGTGACACGCGGTTGACACTGGGAAGTCAATTTCCCGTGACGAAATCGCGCGTAATTACGCCGGCAACGCGCTCGTAAACGCATCCCGCGGCCGGAATGCCCCTGGTGCGAGAGGTGCATCCACTCGATTGCATCCGTTCCAGTTTGCCTTTCGCAAGTGCGGCCGTCCGTAACCCGATAAATCGGGCTTCACGAACGACGCGGCGAGATTCTCCTTGAGTGACACACGTCGTATGAAATACTATGAAATTCTACGCACGTGATTTTTTCTCTCCGATTAATGCCCGACACGCGCATCTCATTCTCACGAAGATGGCTTTTTTTTTCTCACGCGAACCTCTAGAATTCTAGACCACGGCGATCCACTCGAGCTTCTCTTGAGAAAGACACATCGGCGCGAATCGTCCGATCGAGTTCTCATCGCATCGGGACGGAGGTCGCGATCTTCGTGGTCTATTTGTTCCAGGCAAACAATCGTGAGCATCTCATACATCGCAACTCATGCAACGTTAATTGGCCGAGGGCGGAAATATAAATTTGCGCGACTTCTTATTTCATTGTCATTAAGAAAAGTGATAATTATTGATCGAAATAGATTTTCTTTCGTGTGTGTGCGTGGAGAATGTATAAAATATAATCATTTATTCACATCTTTATAGCTTGCTTACGTTAGTTTTACTTCTTAAGTTAGAGATTATGTGTAACAAATAATACATATTTCAAATATTTATAATCGTATAATTATATATGGAATTATTAATGTCCATGCTGATCAGAATTATATGGCTAATTAGAAGAAATCTACACCGCAAATACCGTGCTAATGAGTTAACATTAGTTGCAAGCGATAAAATATTTAGAGCAACGAGAAAAACATCATGTTATTTGGCATCCCTTATTTTTTATATGGCGCAAGTCATGATGTGTGCCTCGATATTCCGCTTAATTGCTCGCTTAATGTATAATTACTTTAGCGTCGTTCATCCATTAAAGGACGTGTTCTAGTTACTGTAAAATATTCAATGATATGTATACCAGCACACAAGTGGCATTAAGTTTTTATAACCGTCGTGCAATTGATAGGTCTAATTAAACTTCGTTGTTAATCGTATACGTATAGTCAACTGTCTCCGGCAACGCGACGAAAGTCAATTTCGTTATAATATTTCTTTCTTTTTGCGCGTGTATCGACAGTCTGATGTAAGGCTAATATTAACCTAAAAACGAGAGATGAACGAGTACTTTCTGCCGAGCGATATTTTACGCTTGAATACTCGTTCTTGCGAAAGGTAACTGCATACAGCTGCTTACAGCTGCTTACAGCTTTCTCTGAATCTGGAAAAGTTAAACTAGTCACGATAAATGAAGTTTAAAACAGACAGAAAGATAATTCATCTTTGACTGTCTTGGAGAAACTACGGAGCTGCGTGCGGAAAAAAAATTTAATTCCATATTTTCGATTTATACTTTTATGAGATTTGAATGCGTTTTCGCCACGATTTGTAAAGCAAGTTATAATTTATTTTGATTCGATCGTTTCATATAAATAATTGATGGAATATCGGCCAAACATTATGTAAGTGTGAATAATAGAGGGGTATATCATTACTAAGAGTGTCTACACTAGTCGTAAAAGCAATACGAGGGTCAACTAACGACCTCGAGTCTATAAAAAGTTTCACTTTCTTTCGCGATAGAAAGTCACTGGCCTTCGAAGAGACTTTGCGATCTTTAGTTCATTACTTGACCCCCCACGCACTTTCCCGGTTACACACGAAATCGTGAAATATTCAGAAATTGCTTCATTTGTAAAAAAAAAATACATTTCTTTTATATATTATTATTTATTTATTTATATTTGACAATTAATTTTCTCCAATTTACTCTCCCTCCTCCCAATGACTTTTTTCCGTTAATACACATTATTACTCCATTTCTTGTAATCGTTATAATTATCTTTTCAACGATCGTCGGAAGTTAATTGCATGACTTTCACAGTTTGCCGGTGGAGGATTACCAAGAGTACATATCCGATATATATATCGTATATGTATATATATATATATATATATATATATAATATATATATNATATATATATATATATATCGTATATATATATATGTACGAGTAACACGAGAAGCGGTATCACACGTGAACGACGCCTCGGCATTGCCGGAAGCGAATGATCTTTCGTATAATCTTGAAAGGATCCATAGGTCAAACGGTGAAACGTGCTTTCACTCGAATTCGCGATCGAGGGGATCAGTGCGCGACACGGAATGTTGATACAACAACGATCAAATGACGCGCGCTGATTTTTTTCTCACGTGGAGATGAAAGTTTTTCCAAGTCCGTTAATTGCGATCGCTTAATCGGGGCCGAGACACTTGAGAAACCGCGAACGTACATATAGTGACGTGTTTATATCCCTTTCCGATTGTGCGTTCACCTCGCAGTTCGCAATTTTCGAAGGGAGCTGTCTCACGTTGTCTTATTAAAATAGTTATCTCCTACTTATCTCGTAATTTGTGTCGGGATAATGGATTTTCCAGAATTCCGTCAGGGACACATGTAATATTCGGAAAGGAAACGAGCATGATTAATTAAGCATCTTCGCTTCCGCCCGTCACAACAAATGACACGGCGCAACTTTCCGATTTATTGTGTCAATTTCTCGTCTGTCGTCCACCATAAATTAATGGTGATGGGTGTATCAAAGTGAAATCGCCGGACAGCTCGGACAGAGAGGACGCATTGATTAGAATAGATTCCGCAATTATTAAGTGATGTAAGCATGAATCGAGACGCAGTATTGCGAAACTCGCGCTGGAAACATTTTGAGTTCTAAATCCTAATCGAGAGTCTCTCTTTCTCTCTCTCTCTCCCTTCCTCCCTCATTCTCTCCCTCTCTCTCTCTCTTTCTTTCGTTGAACGGAGAGTATGCGAATCTTCCGTGTGAGGGGAGGGGCCAGCATTTTATTACCTTGACGTACTTTCACTGGTTTCGTTCGCAAAAGTCAAGTACCGATTTATTACACGAGGCAATTAAACCCTGGATTACGCAAAACCCGCGTCGTACACGTGTTCCAGATGCTTAACCGCGTTGTGCTATTTAAACTTGCGAGCAATTGAAATAGAAATAGCACGGGTCAAGCGGAATTTCCTCACGAGCTGTCGAAACGAGATGCAAAACAGAATAACGACGCGGAGGTATGCAGGAGTGTAAAATGTTGATCTATGCAAATCGCGCCAACCCATCCTGATTTACAACAGTGTTAAAGAACTCTCGACCTGTTAATCAAGCCATGAATGGAAATATTTTTTTTTTCCAAAATGACATACACACACATTTAGAAACAAAATACAGAGAGTATGGGAAGAGAAAATGTAATTCTGGAATGACTATACGATTTAACGTGACAAATCTCATTGATATTCCGAGAAATTTTGGTCTTATGTTAAACTTTTACTTTTACAACACTAGTAGAAGTTAAGGTAAATAAATTAAAAAAATATATATAATAAGTTTAATCCTAATAACATAATTTATTCCCACCTTGACCCTAACGATGTCTTAAATTTCCGTTTTTGCTGTTTTAACGGCAAAATGGATTGTTTAAAGTAGCATTAAAATGGCAGCTGGTAGGATTAAAAGTTCAAAAGAGAAGTTAATAAATGTCAGTATAGTCAAAGTAGATTTTTAACTAGTCCATGGGGCTAATCTAAATAGATGCAAATTGTTTTTAAGCGCGTCAAAGTAGCATCAAAGTGTCGACTCGAGGTGTTGCTTTATGCGAATCATCTATTTCGACAAATTTTACACGCAGTACAAGTTTGCATTCGCAACACCCAATAGATTGACAAATCGATCGCGCTAGATATCAAGCCCGAATTGCTCGTTAAGATCGTTCAATAATGCGGCCGAAGTTCGCAATCGGATATTTTACGCTCAATTATACGGAAATGACAGTACACGTATGAGGAAAAACGAAAGTTCGCAACGATGACGTGACGTGGCTACTGTCCTTGTGTGCTTTGATCCCCTATCCTCTCGGTAATAAGAAATATCCCCACATGATCCTAGTTTTAATGAGTTCGTTGTGAAATGATCACCGAGACTTGTCGCTAGTTGATTCCACAGTTGTGAAATCTATGTAAAAGTGAGGTTTTTCTCAGTGATATCGCAATCAAAAAGCCGAGGGATATTATTTCTATTCGTCCTATTTCTTATCACGATTACATCTAAATTGATCTTAAGCGAGCCGCTTATTTTGAAGGAGATGTAAGTCCAATTTCCGAAAAGGGTGATTAATTTAACTGTTACGCTTGTATGCAAATCAACATAGAAAGTAAAAGAAACGGACGCACAAAGGAATGGACTTGCATCGTTTTCAAAATTGGCAACTCAGATAATAAATTGTGCTGGTTGTACTGTAACTCAAAATATCTTTATTTGTTTGTTCGGGTTTGGTCGGGTTTGTCTCCTCGTGAATGTTGTGTAAGACGAGCCGGTGGATCCGGGTGGAGCGTAAGCGGGCCTCGTGGGCTGTGGCGGCGGTGCGTAAGACGGTCTTGTGGGCGTACCGTACGTAGGTTGTTGTTCTTTCGATTCCGAGGAACTGGCTGACAGACCAGTGCTAGAGCTTGACGACGTGCCGGACAGATTTGCGCTGGAAGTGGCCGACGTGGCCGAGAGCTTCAAGAAAGCTCCGAGGACTTCTTTTAAGACCGAGGTAATCATATCTAAGAAGTTCGGTTCCTGCAAAATTAATCGAACAATTGTGCGTCTTACCGATCAAAATTATATATTATGGTCGATGTAAAAGCTTTCTTTTAAGATCGCTCACAGGTTTGGACGTTGTGTAAGAGTCATAGCCATATGTTGGTTGACCGTAAGTCGTCTGGGCGTAGTACGTGTCTCTGTTACCGTATGTGCCTCTATGCCCTCCTTTGGAGGCTGTCATGGAACCAGCACTGGTGCCAGCAAGCACCCCCGACACGACGGCACTAACTATAGATTTTATGTCCGAATCACCCGCTGAACTGGCGAGTTCCTGAAACATCATTATAACGAGAGATTTGTTGTCCATTTTAAGCGTAGAATACGAATTATATGAAATTAAAATGTAAAACTTGTCTCTCGCAAACAAATGTAAAATTGTAAACAAATAAAAAGGTAGATAAATAAACGACACAGAGAAATAAATATTAAATAGATAGACCGATCGATAAATACGTGGACAAAAATATGAGAAAGAGAAGTGCTGTTAAATTATTGATACGTTAGATTTCCCTCGCGATTTTCTTTTTCTTTTGCAGGTGAAAGAAAATACGAGAAACCTACGACACCTTGGCGCATCAGCTACGATACATACTTTACTCAGCGTGGCAGTGATGCCGGCGATAAGATTCGACAATATCGATTGTCCGTATGCCCCTGGCTAAAACCGCCGAAAACAAATATACGTGAGTAATGATGAAAAAATCACGTAAATTATGTATCAAGGGTGTGAATATTTTAAAAGTGTGAATTACCTCGCTCAAAGGACCAGACAACGATGTGATTAGAGCTCCCGACCCCTCCTTACCGCCAGGCTAAAAATCAAGTTCCGTGTTTGCTCGTTTTAACCACAGGAATTTACGTAGTAAAATCGTGCACACTTTTACCCTTTTTATTCAACAGAATTTTACGAAATAAATTTCTTACGCCACTACTGGTGCGACTTAGCGGGCCGATCAAAGGACCCAAGATAGGTCCGATCAATGGTGCTATAAGCTGAATCAGGGGTCCCAAAATAGCGCCAGAATCACTCCCTTGTCCGTCTGCACCCTGAAACGAACGACGGGTAGTTAAATAGATCAAGTACATATGAAAATAATTTGACAGTTAAAATTACTAGAGAATTTTTTAATCGAAGAACATATCGACATTTTGCCTTGGGATATTCCTCCGTTGGGAATTATCATTCAATAAGCTCACCTCGCTGAGTCTTTGAGAGAGTGGCACCAGAACTCCAGGAATATCAATTCCTCCCTCTTCGTTTGGCTGAAAAGGGGACAAATATTTTTCTATAACTTCGAATTAAAATTTATAGATAGAATTAAATTTTGATTGTGGAAAAATTAACGACTAATCTTCAAAGCGACATGCATTGAACACTTCAATCTTACGTCAGAAAGCCCTTCGATAAGAGGAATAGCGCCCTGAAGCAGCTCTCCTAGATCAATATCGGACTCCGGCTGAAATTGCCAATAATTATTATTGTTTATCTTATAAAGAAATTGAGGATATCGATACTCTCCCTAAAGCTGTAAGAGTCCAAAACTTAATAATAATAATAATAATAGTGAAATCGCATATTTTTCGCATATTTCATAGTTTGAAAATGTTAAGCTGTAAAAATTTTTGATGGACGTGGTATTATATTTTACAAGTTTATTGTTTGTTTCTATTTATTACGTCGCTAAGCTCTTCGAGAATCGGTGCGGCTAATGGCAATAAGTCCAATATAGCTTGTATAGATCCGCCTTCTTCCTCGTCATCCTGCAGAAAAATAGCTTAACGTTACGTATCGCCGTAATAATAAATAATTACACAATACGCACATGCTGTTATAATATAAATAAAATAAACTTGAATCTCACATCTGTTTGCTGTGCGAAAGTTTCGTTGTTTCTTTCCTGATTGCGCACCGTCTGAAACAAGTAATTGCATTTTAATTTGCGGTATTCTCGAGCGATTTAGTCGTTTAAGTATGCAAAAGCCGTCATAACTCCTCGGAGAGTTATCGTTTTATTATTATCGTGTTTTCATCGGCGCATTTTACATTCAGTGATCTCCGTCGTGACCGGTTAAAGAGCAGAGGATTTGCCACTGATCCTCGTTTGAGCAACAAGGATCATTGATCACGGCAACCTTATGCATATTTTACGCTTAGAAACGATCGCAACAACACGATGACACGATGACCGACGGTCGTAAATTTCCAAATTTCACTTTCTCAGGAACATCTCCGACGCGAAATCCCACCGACGGTATTCTTGTGTAATCACCCCAGCGGCCGGCTTAATTAAGTGTCGACGTGAAATACGGCAGATCTAATGAGAACGAGAACGATGCATTCGTTACAAGTCCTCAGGACGCGGATGTGAGTGCAAGGCGAATTAACTTTCACGTTTAAGAACCGCTTGTCCTGTTCGAACGTGACTATAGATTATAAGTTTTTCCACCATATTGATCTCGTCAGAACTGTTGCGATATTTGCAAGTTTTTCTAGATTATTGCGTAAACGCTGATCCTTCCAATATTTCAGTTATTTAAATAGTGTTATTTAAGTAGCTGTATATTTTTCTGCCGAAATATCGTGGATTTCCCGACTCGAAATTTGAAAAAGTCAAACAAGCCGGATAATGAGACGAAAAGGAAGCAAAACAGCGCGATCACGCTGACTGATATTTCGTCGCACAACAACAGCAACGGACTTTCAACAATTAAACTCTACGTCGTTCAACAATTAAACTCTACGTCGAGGGTACTACTTGCGGCTTACTCACATCCTCAAAAGCCACCTGTATCTTTTGTTGGTTAGTGCCCCTCAAAATCGAGAGCACCGGTGTCGTGATCTCGGTCGTGTTCTTCGGCAGTTTCCTCAGAATACCCAACGTCCTCAATAGATTGTCGAGTACAAATGGCTGTCGCTTCTTTGAATTTTGCTGCTTCGTGCCTTTCTTCTTTTTCTCGTTTTTCTTCTTCTGTTCTCGCTCATCTTGCTCAATTTCCTCCCCCTCCTCTTCTTCCTTTACTCTCCCTCTCTCTTCTTCTTCTTCATTCTCCTTCTCTTCCTCTTCCTCATCCTCCTTTTCTTCCTCGTTCTTCTTGGTCTTCTTTTTGCTCGTGCCCGTGGTAAAGTCATCGAAGATGACGTTGACCCGCCCGGACTCGTTCGTGAGCGTATGGTTCTTCTCGAGGTACGACTGGAATTCGTCGACGGGTCGGATCACTAGGCGATTCTTCGTCTTCGAGGTCGAGGTGTCCTCTGGCAGCTGCCGGGTGATCGTTATCACCGCTTGGAACGGAAAAGTCAAGAGAGATCCAGCTGGCCGCGACCGATTCCGCGGTGACATCTCCGCCAGCTTGTTGTTCAAGGCTTTCACGTGAACATTCAAGGAGTTTTTGGTCGAAAGCCTTGCGGGCTCCTCGAAGTTGGAGACGTTCCCGTCGAGGGTATTCTGGTACGGGACAACGTCAGTCGGTCTCGAGGGTAACGGAAGATACGTGACGGCTGGAGGCTGCGCAAACGTTTCCGGGGCACCGAAGGCGGCGGACTGAAACGGTCCGTTGACGTCGAAATTCGTGTACTGCTCAAAGTACAGCTGCTGATCAGCGGCCGGCCCGTTGTAGACGTCGTCCGATGTGGGGAGGCTGAAGGGCTCCTGTAATTGGGCAGCTGTGAATTTCATCTTGCCCACGGGCAACGGGTACGCGATCACCATGTCATTCGAGCTTTGCACAGGGCTCACAGGAGGCTCCTTGAGTCTTCGCGCTGGATAATTGATACCCTGCCGTCTCTCGTTGGAGGACGCCTTCTTCGTCATCTCCCACGACTTGAAGCCCGAGCCGTTGGCGACGGACACTCGTTTGTCGTACTGTGCGCCGCTCGACGAGATGTCCTTCAATCTGGTCGACGTGGAATTGATTTTGGACGCCACCAGGGTCTTCACGTATTTGGACCAGGCCACCAGATCCTCCTTCGAAGCGATTTTCAGCGGCAGCTGGATCTCCAGGATCTTCGGGAACGCCGAGAAGCCCCGCTCGCTCTCGTTCGTCGCACGCTTCCGTGACTTCAAGGGCGCCGAACATGCGAGGTTGGACACTACCAGAATGAGGATGCAGTTTGAGCGGGATAGTATCCGTGACAATACGAGAAGCATCTTGAAAACACCGATATTCTGCTGTTGGGTAGTTTCAAATCTCAGGTGGAATTAACGTACGACGACAGCGGCGTATGATTCATGATAGAAAATGGCATCGCGCATCTTTTCCAATAAATTCTCAGTGCTTTCTCGATGAATTCCTTCTTCCGGTACGTTTGAGTTAGATTCGGCCCTTGTTACTTTACTTTTCTATCCCACAACCTATTGCGCAATTTCTCATTTACACTTTACAGGTACACCTAGTGATTTCGATGTTCACCCTTCATTTATAGCTGAACACACATATTCACAGAAATAAATCAAGTGCGAGCGGGGACGATTATCAGCTTCGCTGGCAACGAATTTGCGCGATCCTTCGAATTGATTATTTAATGGAGTGTTCATGGAGTTTTATGGCGAGCCAAACTGAACGACTGCGACGAACTAGGAAGGAAGAGCCCGTAGGAGACGATCGTACTTGAGGAACTGGACGGTTGAATAGGAAAATGGTTGCTTTATAGGCTGGCCTAATCAGAGGTCTGATTTTTTCCCCTCGGTCGCGGAAGCGTGCACTTTTTCCATGCTGTATCGAGATATCGGCTCCCGTTAATCATAGTGCGTGGGATCGGGGGCGGTCGCGCGTTCACTTCCGTCGTTGCGTTTCCAACGACGAGGTCTTCCTCCCCGCGGCATTCGGATAATTACGTCGGATGATGTATGTAACGTGAAACGCACGTGTACGACAGGCGAGAGCGACTTTCGTAAGGGCGACGAATACCTTAAGAGTTGCAACTTCGTAACGTAGTAAATGGCGAAATTATCTTACCCGAGTGATCGCGAATGGGCATTGAGAGATGCGAATCGCCGTAATCGTGCTGCACTTCGGTTTACCGTGCGATTAAGCGATTACGCGTTATAATCACCGTCCACGCGGAACTCGTTTCGAAGAAACGAGTTCGTCGTTTGTGGATCCTCTTCCGGGTGAAACAACCTCCTCGCCTGCCGAATTCTTCTCTCTCACAGAGGAGGGAAAAGAAATACGTAGAAATACTGAAAAATGGCGGTATTATTATGAAACAGAAAGCTTAAAAACATCTTAGACTTGGGACAACCGGGAAAGAGAAAAACATCATAAGGTATTTAATCAATCAGTATGTATCAAAGACAGAAAAAATCGATTGAATATGCCAAGGGATCTATTTGTTACTTCTTCGAGTGAAAGAATAATATCTGTCATCGTTTGTAAGCCTTTCTCCGGAGCGACCTCGTTGGCCGTCTCTTCTATTTTAGCAGCGTTTGATTTCCTCTTCCTAGCTGAAATATTTTTCAACTTCTCTTCGAATTATCGTGACAGCAAAGAATTATCCGTCTTGGTCGTGACGACCGTGATCGTGATCTTGAAATACCAGACCGGCAACAATAAACGAGTCCCGGTAACGAGCGTTGGTATCCTGTTTCTACGAGCACAAAGCAAGGACGCGTTCACACCCGCTCACGCTAATGATGGTTCTCGCGATCGCGCCAGTCGAAAGTGGTCGATCTAACTGTATGCAAAATAGAAAGTCAACGGAGATATCAGAGAACTCTGTTTCAAGAGTTTCTTCGTATTTCGATTTGTTATCCTGTGCAAGAGATTCGGTACATTCTGCAACAGTGGCCATTAGATCATTATTTACCGACCATTCTAAAGATAGTTCGTTGCACCGTAAAGATCTTCTCTGCAGATCTCGGATTTGTTCGATTCAAGCGTATCATACGATGGAATTTCTTCGAACACAACGTCGAAGCAATAAATAATCGAAGTGACAAAGTAAAATAAAAGAATGTCTTATAAATAATAAGAATGTCTTGCGAACAAAAGACAAATTTGAAAATCAGAAAGGAAACGGAAAATGATCATGGAATGACCATGATATTTGCATTAAGGAGGAATTTATTATGTAATATGTTACGGGATAAAAGGCAGATGCTAAAAAGCAGATGTGAATTTCGCCTGCTTGTGAGTTTCAAGTGTTTCTTCGGCGATCTGATCAAGTGCGAATGACCGGTTGCGTTTGGTAACCTTTCACTTTTTCGGCGAGAAAGGGTTCGCATGAAATGCTCTCAGGTATCGCCCCGTCGCCATAATTGGGTCCTATACGGAAGAGTTATTGCGTAAGACATGATCCGGAATAAATAATTACTCAGAAGACGGTTCTAGGAAATCAAGCGTCGTTATGCGATGTTATTGCACGAACTGGCTCGGAATATACGGCATTAAAATGTGTATCGGCGTGCTTTCGTATTTTTAGAGGAATGGCGCGTGACATAATCCGCTACTAGAGAATTATAGAAAAGAGAATTATAGAGAGTTATAGAAAAAAGATTATAGCGCAATAAAAACTTGTATCGTTAGCGAGGAACTTCCTAGTAATATTCGAATAACTGTATATGACTGATGGCAGAGAACACGACGATGAGCAACTTCGGGACGTTCAATCGAGCGCGGTTACATCGGCGGGAAGAAAGAACGGCACACACGAAGCTGGCGGACTTTCCATTGCGCAAATGCACGGTAGTGTATGGTGGACGGCCGAACCATTTGCAACATTTTTGTGTCCGCAACGTTCCTCCTCTGTCTATATCTGGTAAAAAAAAAGCTACAGTGATATATTTTCCATAGAAAAAAGAAGAAGTGAACGGAACGACGGAAAAATGTCCGAAGAAGGAAGCTTTACTAGAACGATTTTTCCACCGAAATTTCTCACTTCGACACATTGGAGACACGCATTGGCTATAAATAGAAGTGAAATACGGACACACACACACATATTTGCAAATATTATTTTACATAATTCTTCTTTAAGAAAGAATACGAGAAAATTTTTAACAAAACCAGCAACGTCATCGATATTCTAAAGCGGAGCAGACGGGTGTAAAAAATTGCTAATTCTTTCCTGCTTGGCCTGCTATTATACATCGTTTTTATAATCGTATTAAGCGCTTTCATAGCGTATCAAGCGAGAACTATTGGCAAATAAGGTAAAAAATTAAAAGTAAATCGCCACTTGAAAAGGAAGTCAGACAAATCAGCAATGCAGTAAAAACTAGTTTGCCCAGAGTTCACGAGTACTTATCATTGCAGCCGTTAGTCCACTGTGTTCACCTTTCATCCTCGATCAATCGCCACGGTTCGAACCGGTCTATTCTAAGTATAAACGGACTGTCCTTAACTTCTGACCGATCAATGTGTGTCGGTTGACGGAGAGTTCTCTATTGGTATTATTATTAAAAATAAACGTGTGAGCGATTATTAATCGTATTATATTATTATTAAAAATAAACGAGTCTCGTTAATCCGTTCAGCATTCTGATACATGTAAAAAATGTATCTTATCAATAATTGAATTCGATAAGAAATCGATTGCATCTATAAATAACATTCGTACGACGCACGGACGAAGCAATCTTTCGGCTGTCTTTCAAAAACCACGCATTTTACAAATGAAATGCATCGTTTGAACGATGAATATTGCGAATACAAAAATCACTTTATTACAGGTTGAGCGATAATTAAAGCTGAAAAGATCATCGCCTGGTGTAGACAAAGGTGTCTCCGTCTGGTGAACGTTCACGAAAGCCTTAACGTTAACAGAAAGGTCTTGTCTCTACGGTTGTCTTATTCAAGTAGCTGTCGGTAACATCACTTATCTCGGACTCATTAATCTCAAATCGAAAGGATATTTGTAATTATATGACAAAGTAATAATATTATTTTCAAGCGTTATAAAGTAGCCAAAGCGTTATAAAGTAGAAACTTTATTTCCCCTTGGGCAATATCGAATATACTTGCAATTTTTGTCGCAATCGTATATACTGCAAATATAGCAAAATTTGCATCTTATTTATAATTAGCTATTACTATTGATGAAATTGGCACGTGCTAAATTATCCTTATATCTTCGATTGCAGAATTTCCGAAGAATCTTACTCGCTTAGCCACTAAATCAAATGTTTATTGATTTCTAATTGGAATTTATTAGTAATACGAAATTTTTAACAACTTCCTCTTACATAAGGTTTAATTTTTTGCTGATTTTAATAAGAAGATTTTTCACTTAATTAGATAATCCTTGGCCGCGTAACTGTGAGAATACTATTGGATAAGCAGCATCACGGCGGGCATCGTATGTAAAATAACATACACACGTCCATCATGTATTTCTATGATGTAAATGAAATTAACGCTAATTAATGTTTTCTAATAACCTCGATGGAGTCAGCAAATAATAACTCGCAATTTTAGATATGCAATTTATTCTTATCATTCTTTGAAATAGCACATACGTATATTTTTCGTATTCATTTTAAACATGTACAGACTGTGTCTGAACTCTAACTCCGACAAACTTATGGGATAGATTCTACAAAAATAAATAAAAAAGTAAATTAAAAATAAGTAAAAAAGCTAATAAATATGTCTTTAAACGCTTAGTTTCTGAGATATAACTGCCACAATCTCAGTTCACAAAAATATATTTTATTCATTAAATTATATTTTACAAAAAAGTAACTAGATACGTACTATTATCAAAATTGTTTAAAATATCTGTTTAAATATCTTTTAAATATAAAATAATTTCAGAAATAAATATATATATGTGTATAAATATAACATAAGTTTAAAAACAAAACATATCTCTTTTATGAAGATTCAAAGTAATTTTTAAGATAAATATATATACCTTATATTTAAATATATAACTTCTATATATATGTTAGAATTACCATTACGCCAACAGCAACGATAAGTCGACCAACTTAAATTTTATTACAAATGTGTACACCTAGCCACCGACGACGTTTATTATTAGTTTCAGCAATCGAAACTCTTGCGTAAGCGCGGAGGAAAATCGTAAAGTTCTCCCGACATCTGGCCTTCTTTATTCTTCAGCAAACGCAATGTGATCGGAAGAGAGAAACCGATTGAACGGTAAAAGATCCCGAAAGAATATCCGCTCGAGAAGGAACCTTTGCCC